AAGAGTGAACCCCTTGTCGGACACCGCTTTTTGTGGGAGAGTTAACCATGCAATATCATAGGCCTAGAGGTATAAATGAATAGAGGAATACGCTATAGGGGCATAACCTGTTGAGCAATTGTAGTTAACAGCACTGACCGATCGATAGAAGCGAACGCACTCCTGAAGTGGAGGGAGTTAAGGAGTCAAACTAACACCTCGGTGGTTACTAGATTGACTGGAGGTACTTTTTCTGAAAATGGTCACTTCAGTTGTATGGGTGGTCTCTACCTCCCAGATAGATTCAAATAGGCTAGACAGCCTATCCGGTATTCACCAAATGGAATCGACTTCTCGAAAACGGCGGTGTTTTCAAGGTTGCTCTTTCAAATTTAAGAGTACCTATGTCTAATGGGTTTCTTTGAAAATTCTCTGTATGGATGATTTGTGCAAGTGATCAAGATCCTCAATTACTTAGACGGACGCAGAACCATGTGTCTTCGGACCCGAAGACCTGCTTTTCCGAGGAATCACCGCTATGGGCACATTCATTATATTCGGAAATCAGATCGCCTGCTGCATTTGTAGTATACCCACTCGTAACGAAAAGCAGAGTTTGTGCTTCGATTACACGCTGCACGCACAAATACCATATAATTATCCTTCACGTATTCATTCAACGCTTTCTCAAATGGCGTAGAGAATCAGAACCGTACAGCAGCCGATTTCTGAACAAACCTATCTGGGCCCATGTCTGAAACTGTAGGGCTACAACTTTAAAACTGAAGTACCCGCTAAAAGTTAGGAAGGGAGATGAGATTGAATTAAAAAATCCAACTCTGGTATGAGCATACATGCAGTCAGAGGCAACATGTTTGAGAAGAAATGTATTCGACAAATTAAGTTTTCGGAGAAACGAGCATCTGCCGGCTAAAAAACGGGGACTAGACAGGCACTGGCTGAAAATAAACGCCATCCTTGAACAAAGAAGGTGGAAGGTCCACAGGTTCAGGAGCACGATGATGCTTAAACGCAGATATACATAAGGACACTTCTGAGGTTAAAGGCGGCTCCATATTCACAGTCCACTTTAGTGTTGAAGGCCGGTAGTTCGGATTAGAGTTTGCAGGTGGCCAAATTAATTGCTGCTCGAAGTAATGTGTCCATCGGTCCAAACGTTTTGCTTTGCTGGATACCAAAAGAACCATTTTCGTTCCTGGTAATTTCACTAACATAGGTCTCCCGAGGACCAGTCGATCGAATAAAGTGAAACTACATGCGGACTTTTCCAGCAAGTGAGGTCCAGTCTCTTCATGGCGGTAAGCAAGCAAGCAAGCAAGCAAGTAAGTAAGTAAGTAAGTAAGTAAGTAAGTAAGTAAGTAAGTAAGTAAGTAAGTAAGTAAGTAAGTAAGTAAGTAAGTAAGTAAGTAAGTAAGTAAGTAAGTAAGTAAGTAAGTAAGTAAGTAAGTAAGTAAGTAAGTAAGTAAGTAAGTAAGTAAGTAAGTAAGTAAGTAAGTAAGTAAGTAAGTAAGTAAGTAAGTAATTTCTCTCTTCTCTCCCATATTCTCTTGTTACTCTTTCGCATTCATAGCTTGCATTCACTTTTTATGTTTGTGACCATGCTCTTCAAAAATAAATGATAATAAGTAAGTAAGTAAGTAAGGCGGTGCGCTGAACAACTTATTCGTAGTGCCGGCTGGGTAGCCCGGACGTCACTCTGGGTGAGCTAAGGGTTCAGTAACTCCAGACAGTACTAACCACCCTGTTTAGTTTCAATGTGCTGGTTACTTTCGACAATGTACAATACGACTCATCTGGCGCCTCCCACCAGTTCCAGCCAGTACACAAGAGAGCTCATGGGGCTCAAGTGTGAGGAATGTGGCCTGTGCTGCAAATCAAAAGATGGCTTGGTAGCCCACCATGGAGATCACAACAACCAAAGCGGTGGTGCGAACATGGTCACCCAATTGACCTGTGCTGATTGCTCTCCCCTTTTTCCGACGAAGATTGGTCTGAGTTAATATCGCCGGCACGCACACTCCACCCAGCACAATGCAGATAAGCTTAGCCGAATGAAGAATTCTGGTGTCCGCTGGTCCCACCAAGGGTGACAATCACTCTTACGCCTGGCTAAAAATAGTTATCCGTTTTGTGATACGCAAACCGCGCTTTTCGTGAGATTGGAGCAGTATTTTCCTGCTTGATCGGCTATCAGCGTCAAAGTCACTTTACGAGTACAAAACCGGCAAGTAAAAAAGGACGGATCATCATCTGGTGACCCTGACCAAACCATCGGTCAAATAACGGCCTACTGGTCAGAAGCCGATGACTATAGCGTCTGGTTTAAACAAACCGTGAATTGTGCCCCGTCATTCTTGGATTCCCATGCTGACAGTTCGGTTGCTAGTGTTGACCTTCTGGCACTTGCCTGAGGTTTGCAGTCTGGCATCGTGACACCGGAGCAATTCCTGTCGCTTCTGGATCTCCACGCCTCCAAGACATTTCCGCACATCTGGAAAACTTTATCCCGACGCCATCGTCAGCCAACCTATTGGGTGCCCGTCGACCGGAAGCAGATCCGCCGAGCCAACTACACCGCCATCCAGGCCCTATACCACCAAAGACGGAAAGGTGCAGCGTCTGCTGTGCTTGATGGGTCATGGAAGGTAAATGAAGCCGGAGCATTATTGGAAAAAGGTGCTCTCAGCAGCAAAAACACGTGGGTAGCTGGCCAAGTCACATAGCAGTACCATCCGAATGGAGTCTGATTGAGCCAATTACAGGAGAGGAATTTGGCCGTACGATCTGTTTAGTGGATCCGTCCCAGTCCTCGACAAGCTCATGCTCAGGATGCTTCGCTGGAAGTTCAATTTATTCTTGTTATCTGAAGATAGTCCTCCACATATGTGTTTTTCTCGTATTGCCCTAGTTCCAAAGGTGCAAAGTCCGACTTCACCGGACCAACTGAGACCGATATCCATTCTTATCCAATGCTTTCCTAAAGTGTTTGCTGATCACTGGAACCGTAGACTGCAACTGCCATTACTCCAGTTTGCATCGCTACATCAAGACGGTTGCTTGGAAACTACGTTGCTGTTACATGCCCTGCTTCATCATTCTTCAGTGACTGCTTCTAACTTCAGCTTGGCGTTTGTTGATATCTCGAAAGCGTTTGACTTGGTTTCGCATGACACAATCGTCAGATCTGCCTAGGCGTTTCGAGCCATTGTCACCTCTAGTTTGATAAATCGCGCAGTCCTGTGAGAATGCTGCAGCACTTTCCCCAATTCCGAGGTTCACTGCCACAGAGGCGTGAGGCAAGGAGATCCACTCACCCCATTATTGTTAATTATTGCAATGGGTGAGGTTCTTGGATTGTCGATACCGCAACAAGGATACCAGTTCCATGACACCTTAGTGGATGGTTTTGCCTTCGTTGACGACTGGGCCGTGTGTGCAGGAAGTCAGGCTTGCATTAAAGGAAAGGGTGAAGCTGATGGTCGAGTTGGGAAGGGCTGGCGTGAAGAAAAACGTCCGAAAGACGAAAGTAGTGGTGATTTGTGGAGACAGGAAACATCGGGCGACAGCAAATTCGGTTGAACCGTTTCGCTTCGCCGAGGAACTCGTCACTCCTCTGGGTCCGACAGACACCGTAGCATATTTGGGCATCCCTTTACTTTCAAGGGAAAAGGAGTCTTCAACCACCGACATTTAGCTGCTCAAACTGCTCGGTGAGGTGACGCGTGCCCCGATGAAGCCGCATCAATGAATGGAGATCACAATCAGCTGCTTGATACCGAGATTGACATATTCGCTCGTGCTCGGCCAAGTCCACACAAACACGCTCAAAATGATGGACGACTACCTCAGGCAAATTATTCGTGGCTGGCCACGTCTACCAAAGGACACCCCGATCAGCTCTATCCACGACAGTAAACAACATGGGGACTTGGTATCCCAAGTCTGAGTGCAGCAATCCCGATGCAGCTGGGAGTGCTATTACACCCAGTGCCGAGCACTACGCTGTGTGATCAATGACTCAAAATTTGGCTAGATTGTTCAGGATCCCAACCTTCCGATCCGAGTCCATGGTGCATGCATAAACACCAAGGAAGTGTCGGTGACTGCCTGGGGCGATAGTCTGCACAACAGCTTTGACGGCTGCAGTTTACGAGGGTTGGTCGCTTCACTATTTTCGAATCGATGGCTTGTCTTTTCAGAACAGGTGTTTTCTCGGATGTTTATCCGCGGTATCTAGTCCCGATGCAGCGTGCCAAGAATGAGAGTTAGAGGCCATCGGCATGGTTACAGTGGCCAGACGATCTTACGTCGTGGAAACTGTGGCCACCCGGAGAGTTCGGTGCAGGTTTTACAGTCCTGCTGAATCACGCATGATTCCAGATGTGTTCGTCATAATCGGGTTGCAAGGAAACTCGCCAAACGTCTTTATCGCCTGCGATACACCGTCTTTGAGGAGTTGAGAGCACCTACTTCAATGGGTCTCATCAGGCCTGACCTAATCGCTGTTCGGAAGCGCCGAGCAACTGCGATAGATGTAAGCATTGGACGCATAGTAACTGTGTGGAATAAGAANTTCCAGATGTTTCGTCATAATCGGGTTGCAAGGAAACTCGCCAAACGTCTTTATCGCCTGCGATACACCGTCTTTGAGGAGTTGAGAGCACCTACTTCAATGGGTCTCATCAGGCCTGACCTAATCGCTGTTCGGAAGCGCCGAGCAACTGCGATAGATGTAAGCATTGGACGCATAGTAACTGTGTGGAATAAGAAGAAGCAGAAGTATGGTGCTGAAGAATATTCCCCCGCCCTAATCTCAGTCCCACGCGCAATCGACTTTTTGGTTCACTAACCAGTGATCATCCCCCACCGAAGGATCTGCTTTCCTTAGTTTCCCAAGGCTGGTATTTGACTGGGACTTCCTTAGGTAGAGTCAGTGACTTTTGTTTGCTTACCATTGTGGGCTCTCTGCATACTTACACCACTTTTATGCGTGGTACATGGCGCTGAGTGTACATTTTTGCCATTTAATCTCACACCAGACCCAGTATGACGGGACTCACCTGATGTGCGAGTCTTGACTGTGTTGGCGCTCACCGCGCTTGAAGAACGTTTACCATTATTTGTCCTCTCCTCAGTTGTTGGTATTTACACGAGTGTTTCCATGTCAAGATTCTTAGATACGTTGGGATTCATCTTTTCTGACTGGAACTGTTAGTGGCGTGACTGAAAATGAGACACTTCTCTCTTATTATCTAATATTCTCGGTTTGACTTAGCTAACAGAAAAGACCGTCCCATATTTATTTCGCACTATATTCGTGATTTCCTCTCGAAAACAACAGATAGTTAACAAGCCATTACAGTTACGTTATTATAAGTATATTTTGGAAACCATCCTAGGAATCGAAAACTAACTGAGTGAATGGAAATCGTTTTGTACATTACGTATGTATAAGAAAGCAGACATATAAGTCTGTTCTCTCTTCCTTTGTATCTCTTTCTGTGGTGTTTGTCAACAGCAAACGAGGTTGATGACTTCAGGCTACTGTTCTGTTTGATTCGGTCGAAAGTTCCTCTATCTAAGATTCCTTGGTTATCCAGGGTAGTTAAATGCTATAGTCCCTCAATCAGTATTTATTGCCTAAGTGTGTTCAATTCGTTCCGCCCCCAAATATTTTATTCTCACCAGAATGTGGCCATAAAACTCAAAATCTTGTAGAATCCGAGATCATTGTCAGTATACAGATAAAATAACTTTGTTTCTCCTGAAAATTGTAAGAAAGCCAGTGCTGCAAACTATCCTCAGTTACTCCGCATTGGTCAGGTTAGTGCATTGGTCAGTAAAATCTTTTCTGTGTGAATAATTACAAAGCCTGCTTTGCTTACTCGATCAAAGATGAAACCACAGCGCGGCCATCACGTAATATGTGAACAAACTTGGCTTTCGGAAACAGAAACCCAAGGTATTTTGCGTACAAGAAAGTTGTTGGCTGCTTGTGACAGAGATATGGAGCTGGAGGACCCATCTTCTCAATCACTTTGAGTATAAATGCTGCCACAGCCTGGTCGTAGGCCTCTGGATAAATCCCAGCCTCGATTGCACGATTGATGATGGCGCGTTTCATTCCATGTCTTGCTCCCAATAGATCCAATGTGACCATCGGCTCCGCTCCACAACGGATAAGCGGGTGAACATCCAGAAGAACACGCAGCAAACCTGTGCCTGGATCAGGTTGAAAATTAGACGGTAACTGATTACAAGTACAACATCTGACTCCAAATGTATGTTGCATAGCAATCACAAAATACACTCATTTGCATATCAACTTGGTTTTCACGAGAGACTCTCGATCATGATATTCGTCAACTGAATGCGCTGCACAAATGCCGCCTCACGCTTCAGTGGATACAATATTCGAGATATGGTGTTATATTTTCATAAAGGAAACTGCTCCTGTTCAGCATTCCCCACAAGGAAGCATCGTCAGTTTGTAGTCAGTCGGGCTGGATCTAATCGTCTTAACGTGAATTCCCCATCCTTTTTCCAATGACTTTCCTCGATCGATCGATCGATCGATCTCCGTATTCTTTAGTCATTTTACTAAGAAGGCTTGCCCTATCCTCGTAAAACTGTAGTCGAAGGTTAGAACTAACGAGAAATCTGGACTCCTCCGCCGAAGTCAGTGTGAAACTAACTTGGTTGCATTGCGTTCTGAAGTACTGGTTGTCTGGTAAGCTGGAAAACTACGGCGTGCCGCTTTAACTGACGCGGGGACCGATGAAAAAATAATTTTGCACACGGCTCCTGTTCGAGAATGATGGCTACTGGGTTTTTACGATATTTTCGGCTGCTATGATAAACTGACCAGGAAGGTCACAGTATAACATAACAACAGCAACGTAGTATCACCTGTTTCAAGTTAACATGATGTCACTGGTCGTTTTCTGGTGATGGCTACAAAAAGCCTCCACTAAACTAGACAGGTTGTCTGTCTCTGATTTATGGTGGCAACGTTTCTATTGGCCACTGAAGTTGGAATCACAGATAAACCGATGTGGGACTTCAGATCACCGCGTACTTCCATGAAATTTGACCTGAGCAAAGTGCGGTTGCATTTTAACAACTGACTGAATAAGGGGTAAGAAGAAAACTAAGCGATTCCCATGATCTTTTGGGATTTTGGGAATAAATGATGCGTATTTTGAGATGATAGCGGGAACTAAGGCTTCCCGATTGACTGTTGCATCCTAGATGCACTTCCGAAAATCCGTAAAATGCCATTCCTTCACTGTTAACTCATGCTCGTTCTACAGCTAGACATCTTGTCGTCCACCGCAAACCTAGTTCCGGTATATGGTTTCCGTAATTGCTGTGGCATTACACCAGAATCAGTGGGCCAGGCCAGACACAGTCTGGGCGAAACGTCAAAAGAAGAACCTAATTAATCCTTGCCATCTAACAGACACAGAATGTACCGTTGCACACCTGCACGGGACTCAGACTCGAAGGTGTTCAGCCTTGATCCCTCAGATGGTAGCTTCGCACCACTGACCTTTCGGCCAGGCACATATACCTCTGGCAATAAAGAGGATTACTATAGCAACGGCCAGTTTATACTACACTGAGTTATTAAACTCATTAGTAGGTTAAAACTAACCTGTCTCACCACGGTCGAAAACCAGCCCACGTTCCCAAATAGTGAGTGAAAAATTCAATGCCTTATGAGTTCTGCGTCACAACTCTATGGGAGCCGGAATCTAAGGGTCAAAAAGCGACGTCGCTATGATTTCCTAACCGCCACAAGCTGGTTATTCCAGTGGTGACTTTTTCACGCGCCGAAGCGACGAAGATGACATGAATTTCGTTTAAAAGAAAAAAATCAGTGAAACTGATAGCGCACGCCACAAACTTAGGAGATTTGTTCACGAACAGCACACAAATACACGCTGTCTTCCACGCATTTACAGATGAGATTCTATGCTGTAAGCCGTTTTATAACAGGTCATGCTGTTGTTCTGCCAAGATGACAGAAATGCAATATCAGCATAAATGTCTTTATACTAGAATAGGTGTGACGCCACCGAGTTAATTTAACTGCGACATAATCTACCTTAATCTTACACAGTCATTCTATTGTTTGGTCTGGTTGAAACTGATTCCCTACGGCCATAGGGAGTATTTCCCCATTTTTGCAGGGTTTCATGCTGAAATTTAGAAAACCACACCATCTTTAATCCAGAGACATCAGCGTCGCACACTGACCATTTAGAGTCGACCAAGTACACACTCCAGCCCGTTCTGCTATACTTCAGGAGGCCCTACGTGACGCAAGTTGTTATTCGTAATGCGCGCACTTACTGTTAGCGGTCACGTGGTGTTGCAGTCAACGTTGGTGGCAACTGGTAGGTTTTCGGACATTTTGTTTTCCAACTCTTCCGCGGCAACTGAACAGGACAGCACCAAGTCCCAACTGAACGCAAGCAGCAAAGCAAAGCTTACCCTATAGGTCCTAGCTAAACTGCAATTCAGTGGCTTTTCAACTATGAATGATTAAGGTCCAATTAGACAAATGATCCGACCATCGCCATCAGTTATATTGCTTGATTATAATGCCGATTGTAGTAAGCAAGAGTAACGCCATCACAATATGAGAAAAGTAGTTTTTAACAACGGTCGTTTCCATTTTCCGTAGACTGCAGACTCACATACCGTGCAGCAATTGGCAGTTTTTCTGTTGTCTCTTATTTTCTGTTGTCTACTTATTTGTTTCCTCTGATTAGTTGTTTGGTTGGCTGGCCGTGTTGCCGGTTGGGTGTCTGTTTAGACTTCAACTGTAGTTTCTAAGCTTCAGCACCATTTCGATAAACATGGCACGGGCTATCGTTTTTCGTGCCTGTCCTCAATTGCTTTCGATTTCTAATAAAGTGTGTACAAATACTAGACGCCACTAAAAACTCACCTGAACTTTCATGGCCGCCCACAAATATGAGGGGTGCATTTTCTGGAGTCAAAGCTTCTGTAGTTTGCGTCCTCCAAAAACATGGATGGCATTTGTAGAAATAATACAGCGAACCGACAAACCAAGTTGCCAGGAAAGTCACGCAGCACCTGGAGAAAGCTGAAAATGAGGAGAATGAACTTTGTTCAAAATATGCTGGACACCAATCTTTTTGGCATGCTTGTAGAACATGCGCTGAAATGTGGCGAAATGTCAACCTTGAGAAACAAAAATAAGAACGGGTGCAAGCACAGTCACCGATAAACCGAAGCATCACAGAAATTGCAGACTTGGAGATAAATATCATATCATACACCCAAATTTATGCCTTATAGACATGTATTCCATCATCAGACCGTCAAAAGTGCATGAAACCAAACCCAGGTTGATGAGTTCGAACGTACTGAGTTTAGTCCACTCCCATGAAGTAGCCACCCAAGAATATCCCCTTCTTCTAGCCTTCGCTGAAGTAGATCCAAGTATAACCATTCCTGTGTATTTGGTACTGAAAGCGGATCGCGTCAAGTGAACACGCACAGGTTTCGATGGCATATCATGATCAGTTCTATTTTCAAGACGTGACTGTAGCACTCTGCTGTGCAAGTGAGGTGAAATACCGCACAAACGTGGTAAAACTTTTCCCAACGGTGGCACATCTACTGAATGAGCATATCTGGATTCCTCAAACCAATGATAATTCCATGGCACAAGGTGAACTGACAATAAGGAAATCCAAAAAAACCGATGCTGGGGTCACCTTCCTAGTCCACTTAGGCATTTGTCAGAAAAATAGTATTCCATCGTTAAAACTCTTGGTTTACTCAACGAACTGAAAAATTCGGTTGCAGAGCTTTTTCCTCACCCAAGTAGCTGGCTAATATCTTCTTCTGTACGAGAGATTTTTTAACTATTCTAACTAACCTGAACCTAACTGTCCAGGAGAAATCTGACAATGACTGTGAGGTTCCAAATATTTCGATTTTATCTGGTACACCATCGACCGCAAATATGTTCTGGATATTTGCTGATCCAGCGTCAGAATAAAAACCAGAAATCAGACAAAAACGGTCGCCTCAGTGTATCCATTCACAAGATTTTATAAACATTTGCGGATTAGAGACTGAATATTTTGATAGCATGAATTCCTCCGCGGAGACAAAATAATGGACGGACTTATTTTCAGATAGACTTCTGCTTTCATTTTCCATCCATGATGTCTGACTGATTGTCTGAAGGCATGTCAGAATGACTGTGGTAGGGTATCACTTAATCCGTTCCCCGTCCACTTTTATTCTCTTTAAAAAAATAAGGCTTTCAAGTAAGTTATGGCTGTATGGTAGGCAAGCACCAGAGTTTGAACACTGAATTTATGTTGCTGATCACTTCATAGTGTATATGTGGCCCTACTACGAATGACGGGTTACTCTGCTAGCAGCCGGCGATTTCTGAGATTATTATAGGCTGACAATTACCCGATGAGTCAAAACTGAAAGATGGAAGATAGGGAGATGAAGTACGAACGAAACATGAAAGGAGCGTGATCGTTAAATCATAGATGATTTGGCGAGTCAGCTGTTAGCAAGGAAAAACTGAAGACAAATGTGCTTCTGGCCAGTTTTGATTCAACCCCTTCCTGAATGCTCACTCCGTGTCACTGTCGGGTTTATAGACCCTGAAAACAAACAAGCACATGGGTACCATGCTTTTCATAATTGGTCAATCGTTCAGCTGGGACTTTTTCATTAGGGTTGACTGAGTGGGAGTAATTTAATCTCCGGGTTCGGCGTTCAGCTTGTCCCAAAAACAAAGAAACCAACGAGGTATTATTTTCTCATGTCGTTTACTCAGAGTTGCTACAAATGGATTTTGAATCCACATTTCTCAACCCTTAATAATCACTGGTTGTTCCGATAAATCTTGTTCACATTATCTCAGGAGTCACGCCACTACACTTGCACATCAATACTGAAACTGTGATGAGGGAATACAAATACCGACAGATCTTTTTGATTAAGCAACGCTCAGCACAATCTGCTAACAGTAATTAGGTTTTAAAATTCTCACAATGTTACAAGTGCCCCAAACAAAATATCGGAATTTCTGTAATGTTTAGTGGCTGTTCTCAAACCTTGTTCGGAGTGACATACCCAGTCTTTTTACTTTGATAGTGTGGTGATATGACATTCGACTGGAACTCGTATCGATGGTTTCAGATTGAAGGAAACCTAGTCTAATCGTTTTGGGAGTCCGTCCACTTTCTTCACACTGTTGGAGCACCAAATCGGGTGGTTACTGGGATATGCATTATCTAGGACCGTAAATTTCCGAAAAGAAATGCACTCAAGTGCCATGTTAACCACTATTCTAGTAAAGAGGGACAAAACTCTTTTAGTTTTAGAAACCACTACACCAAGGCGAGTTGCGAGACACCGCGTTCCCATCAATTAATAAAACTTTTCCAGAATGCCTCACATCCATTTCCGGACTCAGCTACGGCCATTCAGTTTGATAATGCTGATATAGTATACATTATGGTCAGAAGGGTGGAGAATTTCGGTTTTAATCAGTTGAATGATTAAGAATATCATAAAAAAGAAATTCAGCTGGGTTCCAGATAAGTCTCCGTCGACATCAAATTGGTATCCAGATGAGTGCACAGGTCGAAATTGGTGCATTTTTGGCTCAAGTGGAACATAAGGCTGACGAAAACTCGGGGAGTGCGCCTATCTGATGAACCTTAAGAATGGTGAAAATAGTCGCGCGCTGTCGAAGAGCTTCAACAGCCCTACGGTTAGTGTATACAATTAAACCTTCGTATGTCCTGGTTCGTGCTGTTTGTGCTGCAAAATCCATGAACACTGCCCAGTTTGTCAACTCTAGTATTGAGAAGTCCAATTCCAGTTCAGTTCCACTATGTGGTAGGTAAACAAAATACTTTTCCCTAGAATATTGTCATAGAAACATACGTGGGAAACTGGTAATCGTAATCAGTAAACCTATGCTGATTGGGAAAATATTATTCCGTCATGAAATCGATACGGAAGGTGATCAAACACTAATCCTAGTAAAAAATTAAAAAATCTGAATCAATTTCCTTAGTGAAAATAGCCAAAACTGTGGTTTAAGGGTTACCAAGGTAAACAGTCCATAAAGAAAACTACTCACAAGTTCGCTGAAAATTCTTCGACAGCCCACGACTTGTTTCGCTCTTCTTGGGGATCATCAGGTAAGCTCAGTTCCCGAGTTTTCGTCTCCCATGAAAATTGATTTGCGAATGGGTATATTTGTCCAAATCACTCCAATTTGAGTTCAAGTAGAAAATAAGGTTGACGGAAACTCGGGGACTTCGCCTACCTAATGAGCCTCAAGAAAAGCGAAACCGGTCGCAGGCTGTCGAGAAATTTTCAGCAATCTGGTAAGTAGTTTCCTTCATGAAAATATACTGCGATATTTCGTATATCGTACGAACTGAGACATGAAGCGGGCTGAGAGCAACAGTTGGAGAACATCATAAACGAGGGATTCACTTTAGTCTCCCGTGAATACCAAATTGGTTTGCAATTGAGTACTTGTCGTAAACAGTCCATAGTTGTTACGACCCCATTGGAGTGCCTGCATGAATAAGTTAGGTTTCTTGTCGGAATATGCTTCAGTTGCGTGAGGAACACACATGGTGTGCCACCGGGACTGTATTCACCATGTTGGTCTTTCAGAATACAAGAAACGTAGCCAGAGGTTCACCGCTGGATCTCGAAAAATTTACGAAAATTTTAACCACCACTCACAAAGAAGGATTCGAGAGGACACAAACATCTAGGTGGCACTTTATAAATGTTTCCATGGTGGCTGCTTAACGTAAGACTAGGCAACATTACGGTATAATTTAAGATTGATAGTAATGGTTGACACAAGTGCACTGCTGGAATCTGCACAGCGAATTTCACCAAAACGTTCTGCACAACGTGGAATGCTTACTTCTTCCACCAGTGACGACACGCAGCAACCGTCCCATATCCTTCTGTTGATAACTTTTTCCCGAATAGCTGGGATGCACGCAACGATGTGGATCGGAACAGATGTTCCAGTGATGTGAAGATGTTTTGTCAAACAAAGCAGTTAGATGCGAATGCTCAACAATCGCGTATAATTGGTACGTAACAGTAGTAGTTGGTAATATAGGGTGGAACCCACTCACACACCAATCAGCAAAGGGTGTTTGTGGAACAATTTTTACACTGTCACCAACATTCCGAATGTGCACCAAGACTTCATACCATCTTGTGCACAACCAACAATCCCAGCTCAAAACATGTATGCAGATCTCGTTCCACAGCACGATTTTGTGGTGTGCCTAGTTAACGAAGCGCCTCTGATAAAAGAGCAATTCCCACGGAGAATTTCGCACTCTGATTGACTCATATCATATTTTGCAAAGGAGTGAAATCAAAGAACGCACCCCCAAGAGACTTCGTAATTCAAACCTCCTCACGAGCCACCCCGAGCAAAGGCCATCCAAGATGAAGAGCTTGAAATAGTTTCGGTCAACGAATGATCTTCTTCCGATATAATCGCTTACTTAAATACGTGTTGAATAAGCCCTAATAATGATCCGGTGAAAAGCGAGACCAGCATGTTTACGCCGACCATTCTTTTTCAAAGATTCTGTCATCTATATAAATCTGTTTCAGAATGCATTAGTCAAACGCTGTATGGTAAAAAACATACGAGACGTAGGTCTTTTTGTTGAAGTGGTGAAGTTTGTAGACTTACGCTTTTGTTTTCATGTTAGGTAACGTGGGATAACTGAAAGGAGCATTTCTTTAATTTGTACTAACAAACTTGATCTAATAGATTGGGGATCATCAGTAGTGCGCATCTCGCGAAACTCCGGAGAGTTTTGAACTCGCGACCTCCTGGCTAGTGGTTTGAACACTACCTTTCGGCCAGGAAGGCCGTGTGAATAGATCCTACTTGGGCGCGATGTAGCGCCGCTCATCCTCCAGTCATGGGATCCACATCACGCGGTCACACGTGTTGAGCAGCTCCTCGAGCGACAACTGTAGCACCGCCACCCTCCAGTCATGGGATCCACATCACGCGGTCACACGTGTTGAGCAGCTCCTCGAGCGACAACTTCTCAGATTGAAATTTCACTCATCCGGTGAATTTTATCCTTCCACCGAGCGTCATTGCCCAACTTTACCAATCTAAACCGTTTCAACGGTCAGGTAGTATACCACAGCTTCAGTTACCTAAGATCCCTATGATTATCAGGTAAACTGTGTGTTATTATCTCCAGACCACAGTTAGAGATTCTGTTCACCCTCAAGCGTCGTTAACGTCAGTGACAACATCGTACCTGCCGGTGGTGGGTTCAACTGAAACGGCTCGACTTTGATTGTATGACGATTTCCCCAGTAAAATTTTGAGACGTCCATTCAGTAGTCGGGAAACTCGATGAACGGAGCAACTTTGAAGTATCCCTTGCTCGCGAAAACTGCCCTCATTCGTACGTGGATGCTGATGTGTTCCAGATAGTGGTGTTTCATATTTTTAGAATCGACCGTGTTGCTGCGTTCCGCACTCGTGTTGACTGTACTGTCCCCTATGTGAGATGATCTCGAGGTGTGGATCTTTTACGTGAGTTCAACCTATTTGTTGGCTCTTCAGTGCTAACTAGAAGTTCGCTGTAGTGTCAACGTTTTAATAAGCTCTTGAGATTGAAATGTCAAATTTTTCGGGTACTCAGCATTCACAGACCTGGTTTTCTTCCTTTGCACCCTGTAGTCTATCATCACACACGACTTCCTGGGAACACCCAGGCACGTCAACCGTCCGAAATGCTTCACTTCCCAAAATGATGAGATTTTCATCAAAGACAGAAAACTATTGTTCCTTAGTAAACTTGCTCTGAGTGGTATGTCTGAGTACAGCAGGGTTAATACTGGCTTTCAAAACGTGGGGTAAATTACCTGAGTTAGGTATGTAGATGCGCCGGGACAGTATGTATGATTATGTCAGCAGCATTCCTACTGTTTACTCGTCCTGATCGCATTCTACTTCTTGAGAAACCGACACATTACCCCGAACTGAGTTCTACTGCCCAACCAAGACTATTTTTCTAGGAACGGAGAAAATCCCGGTTCCTTATTCAAATGATACTCAGAGAGGAAAGCAAGACGCCTGAGGGCAGGGTCAGAGAGGCCAACTGAAGTAGCTAGTGCTCCCCAACGGATGTTCGGTAACCACAACAACCGTAAGTTGTACTTGTGCTGAAGAAGCTTGCTGACGCAAGTCAAGCGTTCGTGTCACCCGAACACTTGTTCTCATCCGTGGTTTGGTAGGGCGAATGTGGAATATTTTCTTCTATGAACATACCAGACCACTCATTCCGTTTCAGACTTTCTGCATGCTTTTAAAAGTGTCGGTAAAGCAAGCCTCACGTCCCTATTGCTAAAACGAACAAAACTTCGGGAATGCGGAAACTCTTCTCGGATTTATGGCACTCACTTAGGCTGATGGACCCACTCATTTCTGTTACAATCCGCACTCACATGGATGCGGATTTATCGTCCTGCTCTTTTTTCAGTAAGCAATTATATGTTGGGATATGACGCATGTAAATCTAACATCCCATTTCATCCCATTTCCCCAAAACTTATTTTTTACGTCTTTCCAGTCTGTTTCACCACCGACAGCTTCTCACCTGTAATCTCGTTGTTTGTTTATTTTGTGACGCCTGTAAGCAGCTAAAATAGACGTCACGAGAGTACTAGTAAACTTGTCAAAGCGCTGTTTGTCTTCGGTACCCGGAAATCGATATTCTTTTCGAGCACTGCTTCTAAAAATTCCTTTTTCTCTTGGTTAACGAGTGGCATCGTTCCGTCATGCTGGATTCCGATTTGTTCTGTCTTGCGACCCCGCACTCCATAAACAATTCGTAAACGTAATGTAATTGTCTGTTTTTTTTAATAACTGTATGTCATTTATTTCTCTAAATCTTTTCTGCTTTTTCTGCTGTTTTCGGTTTGTGTCTGTCGATTTCCGTATTTTTCTTTTTTTCTTTTTCGTCTGTTTTTACTTTCATTTCTTTCTGTAGTAGTCTTTAGTTAACTTTACAATAATGGCGCTATCTGTTCATCTGTTGGTTACCATCCCCTCAACGTTTATCTTCGACCACTTTACCAGAGTTTGGTTACCATCTTTTCAACGTTTATCTTTGACCACTTTACCAGAGTTTGGTTACCACCCCATCAACGTTTACCTTCAACCGCTTTCACAGTCCGATTACTATCTCATTAATGTTTACCTTCATCCACTCATATAATCTATTCAACGCATGCACACCCGCTGTTTCATTCCTGTCCGCATTATGACGAACATGCGCCCCACGACTAACCAAGAGTGTTGGAATCTTATCCTAAGACAAACAATGCAAGCGCATCCTCACTCACAACATAAACATATATATATATATATATATATATATATGCGGAACAACGATCCCACAGCCCGACGCTCGTCAGTTCACACAGCGCCTTGACCAGGCCATTTCAAGCCGACGCACGACTCACTGTGCAGGAAAAGTCTGGGCTCGAAATCGTTTTGGATTAAACGACAAAGAACAGGCCAGATTTCAACACACTCGGTCAAGACCCCATTCAATTCAACGGCGTCCCACAAACATTGGCTGCATCGGCTACAACTTATCAAACGAAGAACTCGATAAGTATCATACTTCTTTTGTCCATTATTCAGTTGTAATTTGTGTCTCTGGTAGCCACTATACATAACTGTTTATTGTTAGTGCTATTTCACCTTCTGATATTACTTCGAGTAAAAAGACAATAGCACCTACACATCCAAAACTAAATCTGTACGAGCAGTACCACTCCAGTTCCATATTTGGCCCGCTTGATCGCTGAACCTATTACTTTCCAGTGAGATCCTCAAACCTTTTCTGTTGGATTTTGGTGTCTGTAGCTCTTTTAGTCGATGCTTATGAAGCGTGTTTAATAAGTTGGATATGTTAAACTTTTGGACGTTGGAAACCCAACTTGTTAAGGCTATTGACACGGCTTCACAATTTCCGCTGGCATACCCTCGATGACGAGGTGGAATCGGGGTTCACTTAGATGGTGCAAGAAGAATATACCATTTATACCCCTTCGAGTATTGGGTAGCCACTGCGTTCAACCTGTGGGAGCACTTCACGCTGCTGCATCAGCAAGCGGGACTGGTAGAACATGGGTCCAGTGGACGGAGCTGTTTTCGGTACGATCCGTGCTACTTACTCTGCAGCAGTAGCTTGAACACCTAGGGCAGCATTCATGCGACCATCTTTTGTCTGGAGCTACTACCCACGTCACACAGAAACAGAGTAACGGTAGACACGAGAACCTATTCGCTTCAGCTGCGTGAATAATAACTTCGAAAACTGGAATATCAACCCTACCCTACTCATGAAACTGATCATTGACCAGCTTGGATGATGAGACACAACACTCAGACGAGGAATAAGGGTTTGCTATGTGTGTGGAACACTCAGGAAGACAGAGAAACCGGTGAAACCAGAGGTAAAAGAAGGAGTGGTTATAGAGTTACACTGGTCCAACTGCTCGTGCGTCTATCTCCATGTATAAATGGTTACTAGGCTGTTGGCTTAAACAGAATAAAATGTAAGCACTTACTGACTCGATCAAATGACAGCGCTTTGTTTCATGTCCGGAATTGATTTGCTGCCATGTGAATTCAGAACAGAATTGCGCGTATATCCCCGTCAGAGAAAAGTCTGTGTCCTCGTCGTGTAAAGTGCTGGCGGTGAGACAGAACACTTATTTTTGGCACAATCCAATCCAATTCAAGACTCGATTGAAAATTTCGATGGCATTACATGAAATTAAATCGGCCAACTGAAGATACCGTATCGACAGTGAGATTAAAAGCCCTGGTCTACTGATAGAGAATCGGAACCACCAAAAGTCAAGTTATTGAAAAACGGAACAGGGTTTTCCCCAGTGTTTACTCACCCAGTCGCTTAGGTCCGGGCAAACATAGTGCAGTACACTCATTTAACTGACGTCTAATAGACAAGTAGACCATGTATTCCCTAATGACTCATAGCTTTAGGTTT